GGGCGGGGCGGGCTGAAGCCCGCGCCCGGGCCGGGAGGCGGGTGGTCTCTCCCTCCGAGTTGCCGCTGGAGGACAGAAAGTTTTTGCATGCAGTCCTTCCTGCGTATCCCTCCCTCCCCTGGTCCCTGTCGCCCACCGTGAGGCCCCCCTGCGGGCGCCCGGGAGGCTTAGTGGGGAGGAGCCGAGCAGATTTGTACCTCGCTTCCACCCAAAGCCAGGGAGGGGACTCTGGTGACCTCGTCTCCCAGCCACCACCCCTTCATCCTTTATTCTCGTTCCTGGTGGACCTCGGACCGTGGAGGAGTCCGCGGATGCCTCTGGGAGCTGAGCGCATTGGGGAGGTGACAGTGGTTTTAAAAAGCAGGTGAGTTTGGGACGAGAGGAGCTGCCTACCCATGTCAGGCTGCGGGGCTTGCAAAGCGCCAAACTCAGAGCTTGGTATCGCTAGACTCCTTTGCGCTCCGTGTTTCCTGCTCTCACCGAACCTCTGCGCAGGTTTCGCTCCACGTCCTCTGTAGCGGCGCTCACCCACTCTTGGAAGAGGATGCTAGCAGGCTAAGACCCTCGAACACGTTCCCGTAGGTGATGGCAGCGCCCTGCGCTCTCTACCTGGAGAAGAGCGTGGCCCCAGTTAGCGGATGCAACCCATGGCCGAGAATCTGATTCCTGGGAGAATTCACTTCAGGTTTAACTGCTCCAGCCAGCTGGAAAGGAAGCATTAAATTTCTTCTGAATTTTGGAAGTTTCGTGCTTTGAGATTTCCTCCCTCTACTTGAGGGTAAACCACATAGGCCTTAAAACTCTTCTGATATTTCTTTTTTTAAAAAAATCTATTTACTAGGAATTAAAATATGAAGAGCCCTCATGGCACAATGCTTAGTATTTGGAACCCATCAGCCTCTCTGTAGGAGAAAAGACCTAGTGATCCGCTCCTGTAGAGAATCTAAACCGAACCAAACCCACTGCTGTGGAGTCGATTCTGACTCCTAGCAAGGCTGCAAGACAGGGTACACCTGCCCCACAGAGTTTCCAAGTCTGTAATCTTTGGAAGGAGACTGCCACATCTTTTCTCTCACGCTAGTAGGTTTAAACCACAGACCTTAAAGATTTAGTAGCCGAGTTCTTAACCACTGAGCCACCAGGGCTCCTTCTGGAAAGATTACAGCCTAGGAATCTCTATGGGGCAGTGGGTTCTTCTACTCTGTCACGTGGGTTCGCTATGGGTGGGAATTGACTGGAAAGCATACCACAACAACAACCTAAAGTATGTTTCCTCTACTTCCCTAGAGCCCTTTTTTGTTATTACCACTTACGTTTTCCATTCATTCCATTCATTTACTCCATAACAGAAGAGCACTAATTTGAAATAGCTCTGTACTTTGAGTTCTGTCCTGGCTATGTCATCTAGTGCCCGTCTCCTAACACCAGTATTGTGCCTGAAAGTGAGTTCTAGGATGGTGCGATGAAGAAGGAGCTCCAGCTCTTTCTGTCGTGGAGGTGTATGTTGAATGGGCTTGTTTTTATCAGAGCTAGAACCTTTCATTTGTAGCATAGTGCTTAAGGCACTTGACTGCTAACCAGAAGGCTGGTGGGTTTGAACCACCAGCCACTCCTTGGAAGGAAGGTTGGGCAATCTACTTCTATAGTGATGGAGCCTCGGAAACCCAAGGAGGGGTTGCTGTGAGTCGGGTCCAGCTCGATGGCACATAACAACAACAACAACAACCCTTTGGAAGGGTTCCTACATAGATGAGAAGCATTGGGTGGAGAATTCCTGTCTTAAAGATTGGTGGTGGTAGCCACTGTTTGTTACTTATTGATCTCATGATATGCTGGATTTTGTGTTTGGCATTTCTATCCATCCATTCATCTTTTCAACAGTTATTGCCTGTTATGAACCAGCCCACCCTCAGGAGAGAAAGATAAAGAAATCCAGCCCTCAGGGTCTGGTGGTCTTTGTAGAGGGAGAAGAACGGAAACAAGACATGTGCGCCACATGCCTGGTCAGGGCAGTGAGGGGTATGATCTCTAAGGACTGTGCCTGTTCAGTGGACCCCTGAAATCTAGAGTCAGAACACATGGCACAGACAAGATGGGCTGTGCTCTGTGTCTTGCACACTGGCAAGGATTCCCAATGGTTAGGTGAAGATGGGTTTTGCCGAGGGATAGGGAGTGATGGTGTTAGCAGAGGCTTCAGGCTGATCATAAGTATGGTGTTTTGGGTGTTGAGCATGGTTTACTTGGGGTGGTTGGTTCTTAGAGGAGTGGGGGTTGGGTGGTGATTATAAAAGGCAATAAATGGCAGCCTAAGGAGCTCTGGTGGAACTCTGGTGGCACAGTGCCTAAGGCACTTGACTGCTAACCAGAAGATTGGTGCTTCAAACTCACCAGCCACTCCTCAGAAGGAAGGTTAGGGAATGTACTTCCATAGTGATATCACCTCGGAAACCCAAGGAGGGGTCGCTATGAGTCAGGTCCTACATGATGGCAAACAACAACAACAAGAAGGACCTCTGGTAGCGCAGTGCCTAAAAGGCTAACCAGAAGGTTGGCATGCCTGGATTTCTGACCCACATAAACTGTGAGCTGATTAATGTTTGTTTTATGTTTTAAATTGTTACATTTTGGGGTAACTTGTTATGCGGCAATACTTGGTGGTTCAAACCCACCAGCTGCTCCATGGACGGAAGATGGGGCAATCTACTTCCATAAAGATTTACCACCTTGGAAACCCAGTGGGGTTCACTATGAGTTGGAATTGACTCAGTGACATTGAGTTTGGTTTTGTTTTTTGGAAATGGCAGCTTAAAGAGTCTATATTTTATTTGACAGTGAGGAGCCACTAAGGGACTTTGTACAGCATAAAGATACATTGGAAACATGATTTAGGAAGATTATTCTGGCCATGTGTCCCTCACATAATGGAGTCTGGAGGCTGGTTAGAAAAGTAAAACCATTTACCTTTGAGTCAGTTCCAATTCATGGCAGCCCCATGCGTGTAAGAGCAGGACTGTGCGCTGAAGGGTTTTCAGTAGCTGATTTTCACAGTAGGTCTCCCGGCCTTTCTTCTGAGGTATCTCTGAGTAGACTCAAGCCTCTAACCATTCGGTTAGCAGCCAAGCATGTTAAATATTTGCATGACCTACGTCCTCTGGTTAGGAAAGTTGTTGTTGTTGTTGTTATGTGCCGTCGAGTCAGCCCTGACTCATAGCGACCCCTCCTTGGGTTTCCGAGGCAGTATCACTACGGAAGTAGGATTGCCCAACCTTCCTTCCGAGGAGTGGCTGGTGGGTTTGAACCGCCAGCCTTCTGGTGAGCAGGCAAGTGTCTTAGCCACTATGCTACCAGAGCTCCCGGTTAGGAAAGTAGTACTGCAGTATTCAAGGTGTGAAGAGATGAAAGCCTGAACTTGGGTGGTGCTATGCGGGTGAAGAAGAATGAACAGATGTGAGAGACTTGATGAAGGAAGCAACTCATCAGAGGGTGTGTTGTTTGGCTGGATATTGGGAGAGTGAGACGGAGAGTGCAAGCTCAAAGGCATAATTAATTAGATGCTGGAACATTTTTCCTTCTACTTTTACTTCCTGTTCCTCCAGTTATGACCTATTTTAGTGTTTATTCCTTTATTGTTATACATTCAAGGGAAGGTGTGATAGACAGTCTCTATTTAAAATGACCCCCGATGATCCTCAACTCCTGGTATTTATGTCTTTGTGTAATCCTCTCCCTTGAGTGTAGACTGGACCTTATGACTTACTTCTAACAAATAGACTATGGCAAAAGTGTTTGGGTATCGATTCTGAGGTTAGGCTTCAAAAAGACTGTGACTTCTAAGGAAAGGTTTACTCAGGGAAGGAAATTCACTTTGTTAGTTACTGGGAATGAGAGAGAAAGGGAGGGAAAATTTTGGACTAGTTGGGAGTCACATGTCAATTTGGGTGAGGGGAGGAATGGTATGGAAAGAGTCTGCAACCAGCATGATGACATTGGGGAAAGGAAGGACAGTAAAACATGCACCTAAGATATAGACAACAGAGGCAAATATTAGTACATGCACAATACTGCACTACCACTAGCACCAAACATGAGGCTACGGATAAATGCATAGACAGGTGAAAAGATCAGGTGAGGGTAGGTGAATAGGATTATACCATAGACCAAGCATAGATTTGGCTGAAGATAATCTTACATGTGCACTTGTGCTACAAAATCAGCCACTTGCGTTATAGAAGCAATAGAGTGCAGAGTTGGAGTAATTTCTCAGAGACAACCAAACACCTTGAGAGAGAGAATCAGCAGGTCTGTGAGCTCAGGACCATGGTCTCTGGGGACACCATGCTCAATTGGCATAACATAGTACATAAAAATCTTGTTCTACAACCTACTTTGGTGAGTAGCGACTGGGATCTTAAAACTTTTGAGCAGCCATCTATGATGCAACTTTTGGTCTCTTATCTGGCTCAAAGAAGAGTGAAGAAAATCAAAGGCATCTGGAAACAAGGATAAGATGGACCACAAGGACCTCAGCCTTCATGACCCTGAGAACAAAAGAACTAGATGGTGCCCAGCTACCAGTGCCAACTGCTTGTGAAAACGATCAAAACTTGAGATCCTGGATAGAGTGGGAGGAAAAATATGGAACAAAATTGAAAAACACAAAAATGACCAGAATGACAGATCAGATCGAGATTGGTG